CTTTTTTTGCCTGGAGTTTCTGTGTCTTGTCTTTGTTTGTTTTGTTTGTCTACTTGCCCAGTGACTTGTCATCAGACACATGATACTAGTCTAGTGGCATATAATCTGGGACATGGAAACAGCGGTGGGCCGCTACGCTACACTACGCTACGGGCCCATGTAGTGTTAGCGTAGCGGCGCCATTTTTTCCTTTTTTACGCGTAGTGTTAGCGCGCCGCTACGGCCGCTGCGCTACGCTAATTCGTAGCGGCGCTAACACTTGCCAATTTTTGGTGTAGTGTTAGCGCGCCTCTGGCGCCGCTACGCTGCGTTACGCTACGCTACAGCGTTTTTAGCGGCAAAAAAAGCCTAAAAACCGCTAAAAACTGCTGTAGCGCAGCGTAGCGGGCGGTTTTTTGCGCCCTGCGCGCGTAGCATTAGCGCAGATGGGGGGAATCGCGCTAACGCTACGCTAAACGCTAGCGCAAGTTTTTTCCCCATGCGTGTAGCGTTAGTGCAGAAAATGAGAAAAGCGCTAACGCTACGCTAAATTGTAGCGGTTTTTTCGCTACACTACGCTACGCTAACGCTACGGTTAGCGTAGCTGGCCCACCGTTGATGGAAAGCTTGTGGCAGGACTCCTTTGCTCATCCTTCCACACACACATCCCACTCTGCCCCTACAGACACCTGTCTCTGTTTTTTTTTGGGGGGGTGTTTATTTCTCTTTGGTCTCATTCTGTTTGCCTGCTTCTCTTCTCTGATGTTTGTCTCATGGAATATCAAGCTGTCCACAAACACCCCACTCTGCCCCAGTCCAGCTAGTTACCTTTTCAACCCTGTACCCCTTGAAACAGTAGGTCCATCATTTGAATGATGTCTCCTTTTCTCTCTCATATCTGGTCTGGTTCATTCTTGATCTTCATGTATATCTGCTTCCAGCTGTATGTGTGTATCCTTAGAGAAGCCTAATTAGATAGGACTTTGCAGATTTGCATTGTTAATAGCTTATCCTCTAGACTTCAGGCTTCAATTTGGGTGTCATCTTATATCTGTATTCATGGTGTTTCAGGTTTATTCTTTCACTTAGAAGTCTCAAATTGAGATTATTTGTTGGACTAGCACCATGAGAAAACAATGCTCAATTGATAACAAGTGACATCAGGCTAAGCTCATCATGTTACCAATTATGTACCCAGCTCAACTCTAGCTTAGCCCCCTGTAGCACACAAATGGACCATTGTAGTTGGATTGCATTAGCTCTGCAGCAACACAGGAGTCACAATCAATGCTACACAATTTCACCTGTCATCTGGTGAGGATTGGTTTTTTTTTTTACTGGTGAAGGTATTTATAATAAATCAGATTGTCCTTAAATCTAACATATAGACAATATTTCTCAAATCTTCTGTAAATTCTCTTAGAAAGAAAGAAGGACACCCTAGCTGGCTCTTTGATCTGAATTTCAATAGTTGGATCCCAGATGGCTTTCCTGGGTGACTACAAAGCAGTGGTTGTTTGAATGCTTGTTTAGGGTTATTGGTTGTATAAAATCCAATTGCTTGACAAAACCTGCTGCAAAAAAAATTCATTTTAATACCTTTCAGATGGAAAGATAATACTCCAAACATTTGATGGATTTGTGTATCTGCCGGATTTGATATCTGTATCCCATGGATTTCACATGATGATGTGGTTGGCTCATGATGTCTTGGATCAAATCATGGTTTGAGAATATAAGGCTTCAATCATAGATGCTGAGCTTTTTAGGATGCATTTTCTTATCAATCTTGACTGCATCTTCTTTCCCCTCTAGAAATGAGATTCCTGCTTAATTTGAGGTTTTTAGTGATGGATTGTGTTTTGAAAACCATAGGAATTGGGTATACCAGACCTTGCTTGAGTTTCTCTTTCTTTTTCTAAATTGGTTTTTATGGTATCAAACGGAGGACTTCCCAATCATCACTGGAAGAATCAGATTTAGACTCACTGAAATCAAATTGAGTGAGCAAATCTGATCCAAGGAGCATTAACAAATCTAGGTTTTTTAGGGGATAAGCCTGTGGGACTGAGGGAAAGTGCTTCATTAAAGTTTTCATTTCAGGATTCTTTGTTATTGCTAGGGGGGGGGGGGGGGTTCATGTAGGAGATATTGCCAAGATAGCAAGAAAGGTTTCAGAAACTAAAGCTTTCATAGAACTTAATATTTCAGTCCTGTACAATTTGGTCACATTTCAAAATTTCTGGTCTCAATCATTCACTCGTAGCTATGTAGCTTCTCAGATCTGCAATCTTTCCTGTGTTTTTTGCCCCCAGTCCCCCCACCATCTCAGCCTTTGCTTCCCATTCCCCAGCCACAGCCTGCCACCCAATGCTATTCATCTTTTGTATTGGGTGTGGCAATTCAGGGTATTTGTTCCAAAAATGGGGTCGGTCTTCTCTCCCACTCATGACTTTAAAACTAAATACATCATTAGCATGCGTCACATCAGGCCAAGGCTGGTTGTCGGTGTGTGAGGAAAGGTCTTGGGTTTTGACATAGATTTGATCAGGGGCTTAAATTGTGTTAAGCTACATATGGTTTACATATCCTACCAGGATATTAACGGAAAATTGACCGAAGATTGATCTGTTCAGGTCCAGGGAGGTCTAGCCCGAGCGAGCTCGAACCCGTGGCCCGGAGTGACCCCGATTGATCTATGTACTGCGCCCAGGCTTATCGAATCCGAACAAAAAAAAGAACAGGTTTTCTGTCCCCTGCCGAGAACTTGAAGTCTCCGCTGACCAAGCCAGCCAACTTACAGCCTCCAAAATCGAAAGAACTCGCCTTCACCCCACACATCAGGACTGGTCTGACTAGAACCACACAGATAACACAAAGCACATCCAGCCGGGGTCGACTCAGACTGCCCTCAAACTTGGACGTGGTCGACCGACTTGCCATCTTCGATCAAGCCCACCACCACCCAACTACTTAATAAGGCCCACCACTGCTCATTCAGATCCATCCTACAAATTCACCCCTCTTCACCCTGCAATCAAACACTCAAAATCTCAGCACAGGCTCATACAAATCAACAAAACCAAAACCAGGCGAAACAGGCAGACAGGTCAATCCAAACACAAACCCCTTCATCTTCACATTCAGCAGCATGAGTCTTCCGCCCAACATAGCCAACCATGTCAGATCCTACCTTACTGGCCCTGAAGTCGACCTCCAAACAGTCAGTGCTAAACAGATTCGAAAGAAGCTGGCTACCATCTTTCCTGACCTAGACATCAAAGCACTCCGATCAGAAATCGACGAAATCAGCATCCCAATCTTTCACGAGGTAAGATACCATCAAACTCCAATATCATCCATCCCCACTCTGTAGGTCATGGTTTGTTGTCTCGGTTGGCTTACTTGGCTTTACTGTCGGGGGAGATTTGTAGATCAAGGAAAGCGTCGAGGGTGATGTGAAGCCGGCGCCCCACGAAACATCTGTCAACCCCTCCAATCCTCCTCAGCAGGTCATCAAACAAGACCATAAACCAGACATCAAGCCCACCACATCGCTACCGCCCCTGGCCTTGCCGCCCCGAGGGACGCCAGGAGTAGTGAAGACGGGCGACTCCCAGGAAGCCAAGCCGACGATCCCCAAACCGGCCCCGCAACCGCCGGCATCAACAACCCCGCGCAGTGCGAAATCGACGTCCACCAAATCCAAGAAGAGGAAGTCGGCGGCTTTTGTGGACACTGATGACGAAGAAGGATCTTCTAGCACAGCTAGCAAAAAGAGCGGCAGTGCCAAGAAACCTAGGCCTCCGAGAGAAGGCGAGGGACCTGGATCGAATAGAGGAATCCATGTCGAACTCAACTGCTCGCCCGCTCTATCTAACGTGATTGGAGTCCCAGTGGTATGTCTTCCAAGTCACCTCTATCTCCCCTGCTCCCTTACAACCCGCTACTTGACTGATTTGCTCCTGACCCTATGCAGTGCTCAAGACCGCAAGTCGTTAAGAAGTTGTGGGAATACATCAAGGCTAATAGCTTGCAAAACCCGCAAGATAAGCGTCAGATCATGTGTGACGAGGCGTTGAAGAAAGTGTTCAATCAGAATTCGGTTCATATGTTCACAATGAATGTACGTCTCTCTCTCTCTTTTTTTTTTCTGTTATTTTGTCCCGTTAACTCAGGAGGAATACTGATGGCTAGACTCGTGGTTTTTTCGGATCTCCAGAAATTATTGGCCAGTCACTTGTTCAAGCCAGACGAAGTCGTTCAACCGCCTCCTCCTCCACCCCAGCTATGAGAACAAGATCATGTACCCTTGAATGAATATCTCTTCTGAAAACACACACACACACCTCTTTTTGCTCCCCCCCTTTTTCTTTCTTTTTCTTGATACGAAAACTTCTCCTTCTATATAAATCAAAATGTATGCTCCCTCTCTCTTAGGCTTTCTGTTGAAAAAAATCTCCTCTTATCTTTTTTCTTTCATGTTTTTTTTTTTTTGGCAAAACTTGTTTTTTTTTGTTTTTTTCTGTTTGTTAATAATCACTATAATCATCATCCAATATATTCATTTTGATTAGTTGTTCTTGCCTGCCCAGAATTCTTGGGCTGTTTTTTTTGGATGGGAGGGTTGATGTGGTCCTTTGAGGAAGAAGACTATCCTCAATTGTGATCACTTCATTTCCTTATTTCGACAAGAAGGAATTCTTTCTGTGATCATAGACTGAGATTGGATGACTTCCCATTGTGGTTTACAACTCTCCCAGAATTTAATTTACACCCCCTGGAACTTAATTTTTGGTATAAAAAAGTATTTTTTGACAAGCCTTGTGAAGATAGCTGTCATATGAGCTGGTTGGAATTATGATTGGTGTGTTAATCCAGGACTTGGGAGGGCTTAACAAGCACTCTAAATGGTGGCAGGAAGTCCTCCATTTACACTGCCTACATAGATGAGCAAAATTGGGTGACTGAGAGGAAGACAGTTCATGTCTTGCTGATCAGTCACCAGCTTGCTGTTATTTTTTTTAAAAAAAAGCAATATGAAAGAATTTAGCCACATCCGCATGGGACCAGTAGATGGAAACAGCATGATCATTGAAGTTCATACTTGACTGGGATATCCCCATATCTTGAGAGACAATAATGGTGACTGGCAACCAACAAGCAACATCTTTTTGTTTTTGTCAAGCTATCAATTTTATGGGAAACGTTTGCCCAACCAGCACAACAGCTGATCAGTTAAACTAGATAAAAAGCCAGAAATGAACCGCCCTAGTGTAAGTGAAAGGGAGAGGACATTTTTCAATTCCAATGCTTCAATCAAAACCCCCCAGTTCAATCAATTCAAACACCATTAAATTCTCATCTACTCACTTCCACAGTTCAAAAACTTCCACAACATGATGATGATGGTGCAATCAAATAATCTTTTTCAATGGAGTTAAAAGAGGAATGAGGGATGCAGGGAATAGAGAAATAGAGCAAAATGATGTGAACAAAACCCCTGTCAGCTATCTAGCAAGAACTGAGCACCTCAAGAAGTATTGCAGTTCCGGAATCAAAATAGTGATAAGTTTGATAAATCAAAGGCTGCTTCAGGTTCAGTGATTTGCTGATATAACTAAACCAAAGACTCCAAGCTTGGCAGGGATCAGCACAATTAAGGATGGAAATTGAGCGGGCTTGGGCTGCCTGCGGGTCAGCCTGACTGAGGCCAGCAATGTAGCGGGTGGGTTGGGCCGGGTCTGATTCAGGAAGTACACAGCCAGGCCCAAACCCAATTATACGTTGGGCTGCCCATGGGTGCCTGCGGGCCAGAATTGAGGAGGTTATCCAGGCTGCCCATGGGTGGCCCACAGGCCTTTGCCGGGTCTTTGCAAAACTGAAACATTGGCTGAGATGAAAGATAAAAATTCCATATTGGACCTGACCAAGCAACAAGACCCCCAGCAGGGCACCCAACTGCACCGGCCCAACCGGCAGCCCTCCTAGACCTGATTCTTATTTGAGCCATCTCAGGCTGGGCCTAAGTTAAAAAATCCATCAAAAGCTCGGCCCAAACCTGGTTGTGTTTGGGTGGCCCATTGGACACCCGGCCCAATCACCGTCTTTAGACGCAATACAACTAGAAGGATCAATCCTGGTAGTAAATCCGTAATTGACTTCAGGAGCAAGAGGAATGGGATACTTTTTGGGTAATGTTGTCTCTTTGTGGATTTCTGAGGAACATAGAATAAAAGAGAACAAAGCTTATATAGTATGTACAATGTATTACACTGTATAAGCATAAATGGGTACATTGAATAAGAGATAATGCTTATTGTAGTCTGTGTAGCTTGCACAGTGGCTGTTGACAGGTATTGTGAAAGGTACTTGCAGGCTGACAACCCCAGTCACTGTATTTGTAAACTTATCACAAAAAAGTGAGCAGGTGGGCTTGGTAGAGATTAAACTTATTCTATTCTAAATTCTAATCTGGGGATTCTCCCTCCTTAAGAGTACTTATTGTTATAAATTACTCATTGCTTAAGCTTTGGGGGAATTGCCATGGCTAGCACATGTGATTAGTTATCTTTCATGGGATAATCACCAGGGCTAGCTCCAAAAGAGGTCAGCTGCTTTCTTACTACAGACTAATGGCTTGTTGAGTATTAATCATAGAGCTTTCTATGACCTCAACATACTTAAAGCTGACAAGATGGCCCAGAATTTCTTCCCAAAGTAACCAAAATCCATTTTTGCTTCCTGTTTCCCTCTTGGTGAGTGATTTGGTCCCCCCATTGATGGCAATACAGGAATGTCAATGGCACCCATCCTTCCTCAAATTATTTTTGAGTTCAATTTCCCACCAAAACTGAATACCTAGGAATGAGAATTGGGGGCTTGATGATGGGTGTGCAGATTACTTAAAGGAATTTCTAGATTTTCAGCATTGGTTTTTTTTCATATCCTTACCTAGATATAAGTCAAAATCAAACTTAGCATCTCAAGTTTGGCTGGTCATGGCAAATCCTTTCTTGGGAAATCTTGGACCAGAGTGCCATAATATTCTGAAATTGCTTCCAAAATTTACAATGGGGGACCAAGGTGAATTTTCAGTCACAAAGATCAGCTGAGGCAGACTAAATGACCCACATCAGTATGCTTTGCATCCACATGGTTGTTTGTGGCACATGATTGACCCCTGAGTCCCCCAGTCAAATTAATCAATTGCACAGGAGTAGAATTCCCAATGACTTTGTGAGGGGATGGTTGGAAACTTTATTGGCTAGAATTTTGAAAAATAATCTTGATGCAATTTCTTTTCAAATAGTGAATCAGTGGTGTACAGTGGGCAGATAGTGAAAAGTGACTGCTTATTTTGGATTCCAGAGCTCTGAAAAACAAACTTGAAGTCATGAGACTTGGTCAGGTGGTGCATAATAGCTCCCAAAAAATGAATATGGAATAATAAAAGCAAAAAATAAAGTTTGAAAATTTGTGAAAAATAAAAAATAAACTTTTTTTTTCAAAAGCTTTGATATTCATTTTGGGGGAGTGGGAGTGCTGAGAGAAAGAAAGAATGGAACATGGCAAGAATGATTATAAATGAAAAAAATTGGAACCAAAAAAGGTTTGGCCAGGTTGGTGGTCCAGATTGGAGCCAAAACAGTAAATTCTAGTGCTTTGCTGCAATGTGGGCTGGTGAATGCCCCACTCAACAGCTGTTTGAAGCCATCTGAAAACCAGTTTTTCCAAAATTTTCAGTTATAATCATTCTTCTCATTTCCCAATCTTTCTTTCTCTCAGCAATCCCACTCCCCCAACATGAATATCAAAGCTTTTGAAAAAAATCAATTTTATTTTTTATTTTTCACAAATTTTGAAACTTTATTTTTTGCGTTTATTATTTCATATTTATTTTTTGGGACCTATTATGCACCACCTGACCAAGTCTCATGATTTCAAATTTGTGGTTTGGAGCTCTGGAATCCAAAATAAGCTGCCACTTTTCACTGTCTAGGCACTGTACAGCCCCTTGACAGAAAAAATGGAACCCTTTGATCGGAGTCTAGAGGGCAAACCAATGGACTTGAATTTATGCTTCCTGGTGAAAATATGTAAAATGAGTTCTAAAGAATGATTCTGACATATTGGATAGGAAAATTTTCTGTAATTTGTTTTTTATAATTTTCCTCATTTTCTGATTTTTTTGAAATTTTTCAATCATTTTTTGAATTAGCTCAAAAATTCAGGAGCATCACAATTGCATGTGAAAAGAATGATTATAAATGTAAAATTGAGGAAAATAATAGATCAAAAGTTTAGAGAGCTGAAAAAGTTGGATTGAGGATGAAATTGGATTCAATTTCAGTGCCTGATTGAAGGGTTGGTCTGGTGGATGACACAATCAAAACATGCTTAAAAAAGCTGTTGATCAATTTTTTTTAACTTTTCATTTATAATCATTCTTTTCACATGCAATTTTGCTGATCATGATTTTCTGAGCTACTTTGAAAAATGATTGAAAAATACCAAAAAAATCAGAAAATGGGGAAAAATACACAAAATTTTTACAAAATAATTCCCTATCCAATTTGTCAGAATCATTCTTTTGAACTTATTTTCCACAGTCTCACAAGGAAGCATAAATTGGAGTCCATTGGTTTGCCCTCTGGACTCCAATTAAGGGGTTCCATTTTTTCTGTCAAGGGGCTGTACAGTTAATTGGTCTTGATGACCATTCAGATCAAGAAATCAATCAAAGTGTTGACTGCTCTATTCATGGTGGGTTGCTACAAGAAATTGATCAGAGGGCTGACTGTTATTTTTGAGCAGTTTTCAAATCAAGAAAAGCTTGGAAACAGTGAGACAAGTGAACTTGAAGTTTTCTGTTAATCACCCAAAGGAGTGACTGGGTAATTAGAAACCTGAACTTGGTAAGGACATTAAGAGTACCCGTATGGGTCCAATGGAGTGGCCAGAGCCCAATGGAGTGGCTGAGCCCTCCAGGTTCTCTGTCCAACAAAGAGGCCTTGATGGCCAGGTGGGTGCAATCTTGTGTAATGTGAAAATTGATTGATTGGGTGGCTCAAGTCGAGGGTCATGAGGGCTCCCAGTGAAGCATCGCTGAGAGGTAGACCACAACAGAAAATGCGAGTTCAATGGGCCGTCGCACCCTGTGAACAAAATCTTTTGACAGCTCATCAAAAACGCAAACAAATGATATTGTCGCTTTATGTGAGCAGGTATGCACTCCAAAAATTAAATCAGGTAATGAAAATAATAGTGTCCTTCCTTTTTAAATACAAGTTTTGACAAAAAAAGCCAGGAAAAGGGTGGATACATGGGAATCAAAGTGTTTTTGGACAAATAAGAGAGCGACGTTGTAATTGTACGGCCGATACCACACATCAATGAAAGATCGGAGAGAAAAGTAAAGCAAAATAAAGGGTAAACTGATATTGCGCTAATGGTATTGATGTCTCTTTTTGTTTAATCTAGGACTGCCCGTATCTGAAGTTTGTAGTTTGGCTCCAGAGAGTGCGGAGCGCTGGATTGGGAACTTGCTTTCTTGTGAAAAAGCCTTACAATGAATGAATCTTCTACGGAATTCGATCGCATCACATCAGTTTTTAAATTCAAGCTCAAGCTGGATAGACTTTACTAACCTTCTCCTTTGAGCCCTTTGTTGAAATTCATAAAGCAAAATATCGACACAATTCCCGTCGAAAACAACAGCAAAATCGTCAACGAGGAGAACAAGATTAATGAATGTTGTGAATCTGTAGCTTCTGATATTGGATGCAGCTCAATAATTTCATATCCCATGAACATCTAGCCATATCAAATGATAATTAGACACAATTTCTTTCATGCGCTCAATCTTTCCTTAGATAAGATAATAAAAATAAAGCTTACCATCGCCGCAGACCAAAATATCCCGTAAAGGAAAATGAAAGGCCGTAGTTCCAGTTCAACGGCAATGCTTGCAAAAAGTCTTTCATCAACATGCGAGTCAGTGTGACATTTGAACAAAGGACAAATTAGTGGAATATGTGAAAATCAGCATCCGCCAGGGTCATGAGTTCATAAAAAAGCAAAATGGCCCCAAACTTACTGCACCAGACAAGTGGCGGCTAAAGCTCTATAGGTCATGCAAGTAAAATTGAATCAAGCAGTTCAGATCATATAATCGCTTTGGAATTTTGGTAACGAAAACATAAGTGAATGAAGGTCACTGACAAGGAAGGTAAGATGATATCCAGCGTCTGTAGAATGAGCTGGCTCTGCTTTCTCATCTGGACGATTAAAACGCAAAAGCCAACTAAAAAGAAAAAATTGAATTTTTGTAACAAGTAAAAAATCGATTTGACTCTCATTGCTTTTCTCAGGGCAATGTTCGCTCCTAGTTTCTTGAAAGCGTGCCAGCCTGTACGAAGTTGAGAAAATCAAAAACAGAAACGAGGAAAGGGGCTGTCAGCATTTTTGTACTTATGTCCTTCGAGTATTTGGTTAATAAAGATAGACGCAATGATGTGGGATTATATCCAGAGTTGCGATAAAAACAAAGAGCAGAAAGAATTCTGATATCAAGTGATTGCGAATGCAATGCAATGGCCGAATATTACCAACCGAAATCTTGAGAAAAGTGCCAAGTCAGCCATGACAAAATCAAAGTGGTCACCCCAATAATTGCAGGGACCAAATACAGCCTCCAGTTGATCGACGTTAACAGAGCGGGCGGAATGGTGTTGATTTTTTCATCGTGTCTGAGGGCTCTATGGATTTGATGAGGCAGCAACTGCAAACCAAACCACCAAAAGGAAAGTATGAACAACCGTTGTTAGAAATTGAGAAGTCAAAGGTATTGTTGTTGTGTTCGCCATGATGCACGGCCAAAGCAGCGTGATTGACTCAACTGCACCAAAACCAGTCATGGATCCTTCGAATAGACAGAGTGCGAACAATTGAGGTGCATTTTGGTTGAGAAGAGAATCGATAGCCTGTCAAAAGTGAAATTCAAACCGAATTCACCAGATAAAAATTAGCATCGGTCGTAATACAATCCAAGAGGGCGACGGGACCAAGAATCAGGTGTAGAAGATTAAGCATCAGCAATTCACTAACAATATACACCTCAAAAACGTTTGCAATGGTAAAGATGACCTATGTGGTTGCGGGTTTTCGCCATCGGTGAGGGTTGATTGATGCGGTGAGTTAAAAAAAAAACAATGAATTAGAAAAGGTACACTAAAAACGAGGCATGTAATGGAAATCACCAACTAGATAACCTAACATGGATTGGTAGCCATGGTCATAATCAGAAGAGACATATGGCTTCAAGGATATGAATACTGAAGTGAAGAATCCGATAACACCAATTGATTGTGATACAAGCAGACTGATTAGTATCAAGGTCCGTAAACGGTTGTTTGAGCGTTGGGGAGTTGTGATGAGCATTTTCTTTCTTGCCGAATTCTGTAATTTATCCCATGAAGAATTGTACTCCTCTGCCTCTGAGGATAGAACGTGGGTGAGTTGATGATTACAAGTCCCCTCGAATTTTTCGTCTTCTTCCAGCGAGTGTGGTTGCATCTTGCCAAGCTCGAACGACAGTTTGCAGATGACTGGTTCTGGATTGAGTTGCGCAAATCCTGAGGGGTTATGTAGCCTGTAAAGCTCGTTAAAATTTGTGGATCCAACGAAAACACTTGAGGAGATGAAGCTTAAAGGTCAGAAACTAAGCTGATCCGGTACAGAGTACTACAAAAGATAAACAGGCGACAAGGAGTTCAACTGATTGGCCACCGTGGGGATTTCAAACATCGGACAGACAGAACCACTGCAAAGTCAGCTTATAGTGGACGCAGGCCGGGGGTGAGACGTTCTCTGTTGGTAATTCTAGCAGACGCACTTCAGGTATGTATGAGGGTGTGAGGTTAGCGACGGAGTCGGGGGGATATTTACTACCGAGAGGTCTAAAAACAGCGCTGATAGTAGAGGGACAACTGGGTTTCAATTCTGAGGGTCAGTGAATAAAATGGTCGGACGAGCGGAGGGGTTATGCGATACTATCGACAGATATTAAGAATGCTCAAACTTGGAGTTGGACTAACCTTTGGTCCTTGGAATCAAAATAAACGAAAGACCTGACGGTTAACGGGGAGACCGGTGGGAAGCAATAGACTCATCCATTTCTTCATCGCAGTCTCCTTATATGATCACAACGCTTGTACTTTTCTCAGCTGGAAGCAGAATTATGGGTAGTTTTCTCGATCAAGAGACCACATGAGACAACCCGAGGATCTGAGCCTGAATATTCCCATTGATTACGCGCTATCCCATACTCAGCGTGATAAGACACGCGTTAGGCTACAAACTGGTGTCTTATCAGGCGTGAGAATAATTGTTACTTCAACTGGGGAAGTCTTGGCCACTTCACTTAATGCAAGTTTAAAGTCTTGAGGGCACCTCCGTCTTGCAAGTATCTAGATGTGTGAGACGTCTGGCTATGAATGGCGACACGGCTACGAATGTGAAGCTTGGGATACACCGATTATAGGCCCAGCCAGACCCGCCCAAATCTCGTGTAATAGTGTCGCGATGCGACAACGTCCTTGACCTCCATCGTGTCCAACATCTCCCAAAGCCGTTTGGGTGGCAACTGATTTATGCATCAGGATCGAGACGAAGGATGAGGAAAGAGACACCCATCAAAGCCATCTGACATGTGCAATCGCACAAGACTACCCTGGAGATAGAATGCGTTCGAATGACCTGATGCCGGCGGCCTTTGCCAAATCCAAAGTCACTAAAGTTGAAGCAAAATATACACGCAACCTTTGCCTCCTAGAGGCCTCATCCCATAACCCACATTCTGAATGTTCTTGGAAGCTGCACCCTAGCGAACAACCCCCTGATCATTTTGATTGGGCACATCACCGACTCAAGCCTTTATCTCCTACAAGCTTGAACGTCCGCGACGTCCGAGCGTACACTGCTGTTGCTTAGCCCTCGGCGAAGGGAAGTAACTTATCAAAACTGTGTAATTTTCTAAGCTTGTCTTGTTGAGATGCTTATTGGCTAGTGTGTCAATTTCTTCCTGACCAAATCATTACACCATTTACATGTCTTCGTGCTCAGTCCCCAGTCATAAGAGCCTGTCTGTGACTTCTGTTCCTCAGCCTGCGTCCCTCGCAGCATGTTTGGGTGCTTTTATCTACAGGTTCACCCTGAGATGTAGCCTAATGCGCTGCCTCGGGTCTCGTCGATCGGATGGGAGCGCTTTATGATGACTGTAACAACAAGTTTTGATCCAGCCAACCGACGGAAAACCCTGCTTATCAAGTCATGATAACGTCCTGTAGTACAGCCCATATCTTGCAACTTTGACAAACTTTTTTCGCATGTATGTATAGGGGTTACCTGTTTTTGTGTGCTCTCGGATAAAAGCCAAGTTCGTATCCTCCAATGTTGAATAACTAAAGAAAAATAAAATCCCAACAGTTGACCAGACATTCTCGTTTGCGGTCCTGACCGATCCAAGAAACGAAAATTCAACTCCACACTTTGGCTCAAAGGGCGGCAAGATACAGGTACATCGTTCTCTTCGAATCGATACACCAATGTCCCGCCAAAAACACCCACAAAAGAAATTGACTAGGGCAGCAACTTTCCTATTGTGCACCGAGAGTTAATAATCTCAGGTTATATGTAAGCGCAACGTTCAAAGGAGATTGGTATAGGTCAAGCGCGCTACGTTTCAAGCTGCTTCATCGTAGATCGTTCGACTTGTTGTTGAACTCCCTCGCTCTCCAATAGCAAAAGTAATATCAAGGTCCTGTCCGTTTATATTGCAGAAAGGTGTCCATTCTGAGAAGCATCGGGGGGCCGGAAAGTACACAGACAATTATTGTTCGGTTATGATCAATGGCACGGCCACATTTTCACAATGGGACGCCCGCCAAGCCCAGGGGGGATGCAAGTGGGGCGGGTTGATGTCGGAAAACAACAAGGAATCCCCACAAAGCCTAATCAAAACTTGACCCCAGAAGCAGCACTGTAAATTCGGGGATTCATAGCTACAGTGAGTACCTTTGCAATAAGGTTGAGTTCAAGCAAATAATTTCTCGATTCTAATATTCATGTCAACCGGACCCGAAGATCGCTCGGGTCCCGACTTTCGCCTTTGTTGCTTATCTGCTGATCAGCGTTGCCATTGTCATGAGGTCATGAGAAGACCTGACCCGGCATGAAGAATCCTTTTGTCAATCAATCTTGGCCTTGACACATCTATCGTCAAGGGGCCTGGGACTGGAGTACCTTAATTCATCAAATCAAGTGTTTGCATACGACGTCTGACGAAAGGGGAAATGATGAAGGCGATGTTGCATCAGTCGCTCTGAAGACGCATCGTGTTCTTAACAGATGCACCGTGAATGATATTTAACTTGCAGTTTTAACTATCTATTTATCCCCTCTCTCTCTTAGCTTACTTTATCACCACAAATTAATATCATGGGTCATCACGATTTAGTATCATGAGTCACCAGAAATTAGTATCATGAATCACCAGAAATTAGTATCATGGGTCACCACAAATTAGTATCACGGGTCAACATGAATTAATTTTGGTAGAGGTCGGAGGACATGTTTGCACTTTACTGGTGTCGCCTCATGTCGTACAGCACTTAGCAGGAAGGTTGACTAAAAACTCTACATCCTGATAGAGATCGATGGTGTATAAAATGGTGGCTTGGTAGATTGCTTCAACCTTGCTCTCACCACCTTGTTTACCTCCATCTTGAAAAATCACATTTGTTGTTTCATTACCATAACAAAATCATCTCAGCTTTTAACTGGCGTGAACCACCGGTCATATATCGATTTGATAGTTTAGTTATCAGCTATTATTTTTTTTCGCTCCCCGTGTTGATACTCACCTGGTTGTGGGTTCATTGGCTGTTCTGAACGTTTGTGATCAATCCAAGGTATTTCTATATTCTTGGTCTTCATCCTTGATTCTGTCGACTCCATTGCAGCCCCTGACGACATAGCAATTTGACAAGTGCAATTGCCACCTCTCTTGCCCCTGCGTCTCAGATAACGCAAGTTCATCAGGTGTACACTTCGTCATCCAATCAAGGGATTTTCGAGATTGCCGATAGTGCAACCCGTTCCTCTCACCAGGTGTGTTTTAAAGTTTTTGTATCAAGCCAATTGAAAATTTCTCAAGAATTGCACTAAGAGAACAACTTTGGGTTTTAGTGTGGTTACCCAGTGTTTGGCCCTCTTTTACAAAAATAATGGTTCAAATTCGAACAAGTAGGATGTCTAATGGCATCAAAATTTGGCACTTTTGTGCCTTGGTACTACTGGTAGCGCTCAGTATATGCCCTGCAGCTCTCGGTGAAGAGAATAATTTGGTACAATCCGAAGTTGCCGCCAACAAGGAAGCCGCAGTGGCAGAACATTCCACCAAAACATCAAACATTGAATTTGTGTCACTCAAGCGTAGATCCCCTTTACCCCAAGGTGGGTGTAAAGGTAATAAAGTACTTGTAAAAGGGGTATGTGTCACAAAGTGCAAAGCTAATCAAACACGTAATGCGACTGGAAAGTGTGTCAAGAGAGTACAGTAGCTAGACCACCATTTTGTCTCACTTGTACTTCCAACTCACCCATTAACTGTAATTCCTGAACTACATTTCACATAATATGTTTTCAAATTTATACTTGTTGAGAACAGCCTTTGACATGATCTGATAGAAAAATCAAAATTTCATGAAATCCAAGTGGTAAAATTGTATGCCATTATTCATTCCTTTTTCAATTTTCTACTTTTAGGGTTTTGGTTAATTGACTCCCAAATATTGGAGTTCTGAATCCCAAATATTTGGGACATCAAGAGGACCGGCTGCAGATGGCCTTCTTGACATTGACCCCCCTATATTTTTTCCCCTGGTTTTTTAGGAGTTGGAACTCCAAAAGCTCTGACTTGTTTGGGAGTTGGACCTCTTTGTAAGAAAAATATTAAAAAAAAAAATCAAATTCCCCTGGGGGTTTTTGGGAGTCAGTGCTCCAAAACCCTATGGAGTATTGTGAGTCGGTGCCAAAAAGAAAAGAAAAGAAAACTTCCCTACAGCCAGGAGGATTCCTCCTGGCCACTGAGGAATACTCTTGGCTATTGAGAGTCTACATTCTCAGCAACCAAGCTCTCTGCCATCAAGAGTGTACACTCTCAGCAGCCAAGAGGTACACTCCCAGTGTCAGCCTTAGAGAAACTCCATAGTATCCAAAAGACTGCTAAAATAATAAATATTAAATACTCAATATGTAATATAATATGTAACAATATTATTTGGGGCTTGGTGAAACAACTCCCAAAAACTGGAGAGCCAACTCCCAAGCCCCGGATTACCCAAAAAATGGGAGTTAAACCCCCAAAACCAATGACTGGTTTGGGAGTTGACTCCCTAAAAAATTAAAAAAGAAAAAAAAGCCCTGGTTGGTCTGAGAGTTGATCCTCCCAAACCAACCAGGGTTTCAAATATACAATTCTATATACAACAGCAACCAACTTAGTCAACCTGTTCAAAGAATTTTCTAGAGATAAAAAAACAGTCAGCTACCAAGCATTCCAGACGTACCTCCAAAAATATTCTGAAATCATTGATTACCTCCTCATCCAGAGACAGTTGAGAAGTAGACAGGCTGCCTTAATTCCTTTCATGAGTGCCTTTCCTCAAGAACTCTAGAACACTATCAAACAGACATTAATCAACAATGGTCAACTTCCACAAGTGCCTAATGGATCCAGGTTACCCCCTCTTTGGAAACACCTTAAGGAGGCAGCTGGAATAAGGTTAAATTGAAATAAGACTATCAAAACTATTTACAACAACTATCCAACTAATGTCACACAATCTATGAAAGGATTAGCCAAGGAGATTGAGTCACTCAAACAACAACTTCAAGATATACATTCACCTGTCATATGCAACACTCCACATCCTTTGTCACAATTGGAGCCAGTGATGAATCATATGGAACTAGAGAAGGACTATATGGAACTTGAGACGGATATACGGAACCAGCAAAGGACTACATGGAACTAGCAATAGATTATACAGAACCAGCAAAAGACTATACCAAACTAGCGATGGTTTTTGCTGTTGAGTTACTCATATCCAGTTTAGTCCTCATTATTCATTATTAGTATGCCTCATACATGTCACATACATTTAACTGTCATTTCACTTGTGTTGTAGTACACTTGAGAAGCGTTTGTGGAAGATATCTTTCCTCATCCTTCCACAAATGTCTTCACTCACCTGTAACGTGTCCGCTGCTCTCAGCTGTGTTTTCATTCTTTCTCTGTTTTCTCTTTTCCTTTGTTCTCTGCTTTTTTCTTCTCTCATGTGAAATGATAATTCTCATCCTTCCATGAACGTCTTCACTCACCTGCAAGTTGCAATGTGTCCACTGCTCTCAGCCTTGTTTTGCTCATCAGTTACAGAGCCTGAGAAGGATCATAGAGAACCAGTGATGGATGTTGCCCTACCCACAATGATCACAGCAGAAATGGAACCATTATTGGAGGACTTCCCGTCAACATCTGTGGATCTCCCAGAGCCGGTTTAGAGCCTCAAAATTCAAATCTCCCTGTGAGAATTAAAAAATTTCGGCTCTAGATTGACTTCTGCGAGGGTCCCAGATCCGACGGGAAGTCCTCCATTGGAAGACCATATTTAGATAGTCACAACCTTGGGAACTTGATAAAAGTTTGTATCTTGTTTCACACAATACTGACAGGTTTACAATAAAAGTGAACTTGTCCAGAAATTATGCATTTACACAATCCAAAAAGTGTAAAAAAAGTCTGAAAGCCAGGGTTTGTCAAAGGAAGAGTCAAAACAGTCAACAAACTGACAGTTTCAGGAACACTTCAATGTGAATGATAAGAGGGCAGACAAGGTACAAGTCAAAATCATTTCGAGGAAAAAAAAACAGATATGGTATATAAGTGAGTTTTGATGAGAAAATAAATTAGGAGAGGGAAATGTTTGCAAGAAACAAAAGGCCACTCTGTAGTATGTATTTAATTGGAATGTTCATGTACAGGTGGAAGTGGGAGGGAAGCATCCCAAACTCAAAGGAAATGCATGGGGAAGTCTTGCCATCTACCCTCGGGAGTTTATCAACTTGAACTGCGGGGAAACCCAATACTCATAGTCGGCCTCGTTTGTCTTGTTTCCGCTAACACGCAAAGCCCTGAAAAAAGAAATCCATAAATTAGAAACTGCAATCTTTAATGTTGAACAAACAAGCAACAGACCTAAGCAGAACCTTGTAGTTTCCATTTGGTAAAAAGTTAGGTTTCTTTTTGGTTTTTGTAACAACTGTGGCATTCCAGGGTTGGGTATAGGAATCGCCCGCACTGTAGAATTTACAAAATCGTGTGACACCGCAGAGGGTCAGTCATTCATCTTGATCGTCACGAAGCGCAATTATGGCAAACCTAGAACGTGAAAGTGACACAGTATCACTGTCTGGTATGAGACCCAGCAAGCGCGAGCCCCTGAATGATTTTTCGAAGTCCTTACTGCTTGTCGCATTGGACAAGAATGAAGTTCCAGGTAGTACATCAGCACGAAGAAGACGCGTGCCAACTGTTGCAAAACAGTACATGGTAAGTGTTTGCGCTAGCATTGTTGTTGTAAGGACTAGTCAAAACGGTCTTACAGAGTGTTCTAAAATGAATGATAGTTGTGTTGTGTGCTTTCAAGTCCCATACAAAAGTAGTGTTCAGTGGGGGCTGGGCTTTGACTTTTGTATCAGTGGAATTTTTTCCATCCTTGGAAGATTCTTTCTTCTTCTTATAAGCGAGATAGGGATAGCTGGCTGTTTTGTTTTCATTTGGACCTCGGTCTAGGACTGATAATGTACAGCATGATCAGTGAGTTTGTCCGCGACTCCCAGGCTACCTTCCGTCGAATCCCAAGGACTTACTTTGTTGTTCTTTGAGTGATCCCACCACACCATAATAGGGAACATTGTGGCTTTGACATTCAGCATCGGAAGCCTAAGCCCAATTTAGTCTGTCAGCTCGTTTCAACAAAACAGACGTATCAGGGTGCTTGACACTCACCATCACGATGAAGCCTGAATAAACCGCGAGCCAACGTGGATCTAAGTTCTGGGGGGGCAAGAAATTGACTTTGACAACTTGTGATGAGCCTGGTGGCAGACTGAATTTTTCGGGGCTGATTTGGGCCACTGCTGACTGATTTGAAAAACTGGGATTGATATCTGGTCGGCCATACTTTGTGTCTGACGAGAAGGTTTCCAGCGTTACTGCTGGACGGTGGGTTAAGATGTAATTAAAGACGCCGGTGCCGTTATTAAAGATTGTAAATTCTTGGTTGGCCCGGAAAGAGACTGAATCATTGAGGACCAGGCCAGGAACTGAGATTGTGGTATTTGTCCACACAGCACAGAAAGCGTCGATGAGGCCTCCACCCTGGTGAACAGCGGCTTTAACAGTACACACGTCAATTTGGAGTCAAACCTCATCAATACCAAACTATCACTAACAGTCAAGACTATGGGATTTGGCACGATTGATGAGTTTGGTTGTGGTTGCCAATCGAGAGCGCATCGTTAAACCAGTAAATTTCTTGCCTCTCGCACTCAATATCAATGCTGCTACGCCAGCAATCTGGGCCAAGTTACAGGAAGGGTTCAGTTCAAGATCCTGGAAGTGATTACATCATGAAAGCATACCTGTGGAGTGGCCATAGAAGTACCGCTTAGGGATGCCTGTGAGAAGAAGTAAGACATCTATTAAATGAAAAGATCTTCTGTTTTGCGTTATGTTTGTACAAAGCCATCTTACATAACCACCGTCTTTTGTAGGGTAAGTTGCTAAAATAATAAGGTCAAAGATGGTCAGCTGTGGGTCTTTTTCAAGAGATTGAGCCTTTGATTACACACAAACTACGTTGCCACCCACAGCAGCCACCGCAGGCTGGGGACTTTCAAAATCGAAGCTAGGACCACTGGAATTGAAAAAAAAAAAAAAAAAAAATCAGTGAAACGAGCCGACACTGATAGCACAAAATCAGACTGAACTATTGTGAAAAGTTGCTCGGGGAACCGCCGTCGGGAACATTCACTGAGGATGGCAATTCGTCAGTATCCCAAGCAGAATCAAGCCTCAATAGTAAATGCGCTTACAATAAAAGTGACCGCTTGGCGGGAATGAAACTTTGAAACCATTGGGATCCTTCTTGGCATGATGGAAAATATATCTCCCATCTTCCAATGATATCGGGGCAGTAGAAGCATTTGCCATTTTGTTGGGCAAGGTTACAATACTTGTTGAATTCTACAGAAAGACATGACAATTGATCAGTGCATGAACGATCTAACAAATTTCAGAAGGCGCACCATGTAAAAGAGAATTTGCTTCCCGCCTTTGGCCGCGACATGCTTTGCTTTGATAGAAAAAAGACAGGTTCTGTGGCAACCCGGAGTGTCAGAAATATCATCTGCCGGTGATAATGAGAAACAGATTTACCCTCTCTTAACCAGCACGATATGATTGGTGAGATTTGGAGTATGCTTGGGGAGTTCGTCGCAAGCATCACTTGAGTCGTCGGTCGAATTGGCAGTAATATAAATCGGATACTCGCCAGAGAGGTTCAGTGTGCTGGTCCGGTAGAACGTGAGCTCCTTACCAGTTGAAGCTTTGAACTTTCCCGCCACTATCGATTGTGCCTCCATCGAACCAACCGATATAGCATTCTTTGCTGAGGCTGGATTGTCCCCAAAAAATAATCCCTCCTGCAATTACCGACCGGGTCAACAAAGGCGTGCGGAAGTCGTGCGGGTTTTGTTGTTCACTCACCGAACCTTCGTTGCCCGCTGCGACAATTATAATGGCACCTTTCTTCTGAACTAATTTGTTCACAGTGTTCAGCAGTTCTTCACCCTGCCCCCAACCGCCAGGGCCACCTATAGATGCTGAAATGATGTCGGCTATGAAACAGGCACGCATTGATTTTTGAAACAAAAGTCAGACTGAGGCGACTCGTAGGAAAAAAAGGTGGCATTCCACATACCCCCATCTTTGTGAGCTTGTAACATGGCCGCAACGAGAGAATCGGTACTGGAATCACCCTCATCGCCACATCCAAAGACTGTCCAGCATCAAAATGTTAGATTCGAGAAATGTAGCACATTGTGATCTAGATCCGGAATCTTACCACCTGAGAATCAAGGAGAAAGAGGATCAATTACTGGATGCACATGGTGATTTGGAATGCCGCGGTCCTACTCACGATACATCCCAAGGGTAGCATTGGGAGCCACTCCCATAAATCCGTAGCCGACGTCTGTCGCGGCAACTATTCCAGCTACATGTGTTCCATGGGACTAAGTGCAACCCATAAGATCAGAAGGGATTTTTGGCAAACTGCCGATTGATAACCAACTTACTGTACATTGGGTACACGGACTGTCATTTTTCTTTTTCTTTTTCTTTTCTTGTTTGTTTTTTCTGGCCGCAAGGTGCATAGCTCGAGGCCCTAAGCCATGAGGCTCGACGCTGTGGTTGGCAGCGTCGCTTTCCCCACTTTCGTCATCGTCATCATCGGTTTCAGCGTAGTTTTTTCCAAAGGCTATCTTGAATCCTGGCCCGAATCCTTTGCCTAAGGCCGGATGGCTGCAGTCAACGCCGGAGTCTATTAAAGCTACTTTGACGCCTTTTCCGTAAATTCCCATTTTGTGGAGTTCGGTGATCCGACTCTGGACTTGAGGGGGAAATAGCGACGGAGTTGAGTTTATAGGTGCATCTACAATCCTCTCGTCAAATGTACTAGCGCGTCTGATTTTTTCAACTTGACTGATTTTCTGCGTCCGATAAGATTGGGAAATGCCAATCAGAGAGGCGTTTTCCGCAGAGAAAATATAAATATGTCAGACAAGTTCGTCAGGGCGGTGACAAAGTCGGGCCAGCGCACCTCTACATGAGCAGAGTTCTCCAAGTGGTGCAGGTCGTCTTCATCCGAGAGTCTCACAGAAAGGCCGTAAAACACGTCGGGGAGCACATTGGTCATATCCAAGACAACTTCATGCTGAACTCCCTTGCTATCACGGTGCGCTTTAAAGTCCTCCAACGAAGTCTAACATTTACAAGATAATTAAGGTTGTTAGCTGCTATCGGTACTGAAAATCCAACGGAACTCGACTCAACTGATTTGTCACGATTCAGTGATACAAGATACCGCTTGGGTAGAAGAGAGGGAGATTTGTTCTGATTGGCAGCCTTGGTGAAGTTTAATGTAGCGAGTGTAGCGAAGAAAAAGAGGGACCAGCGAGAAGCTGGGACCATATTCAACCGTCTGTATGTATTATTGATACGGCAAAGTTGTGACTGTCCAATGATTTACTGAGTTAAGATAGCCGAATGCGTTGTATTATAACTGGATGTTTATTACTGCAGAATTATGAAATATTTAAGTGATTTTGTAAAATTGATATAATGTGGATTGTCCTGGTGTACGGGAAGCCCGGCGGTATAACACGGCAAAAGATCAGCTAATGTTGGTCACTGGACGGATATGCGCCATTAACGAAGACAAGTCCACTTGATCACATTGTATTCCTCATGACTTGACCTGAAAGGCAGAACTTACACTTCGGACACCTGTGCCTGCGGTAGATGAGCAAGAAATGAGAAAAGCGTAAAAAAGTGTCACTGGAGTCGACGAATGTCAAAAGCTAGACCAGCCTACCTTGAAGCCTGTTCACAAATAATTTCTTCGAAAGTACTGGGTAAGTGTGTTCGTTTCGAGGCTTTAATTCCACAGACACTCTCTACTTGGGCGCTTGAGATGATCAGTATATTAATGGTGGTGAGACGGCCGGACGGTGCTTTCGAATTGGGTAATGAGGAAGAGATGACGTTGACAGTGTTGACTGCCCGGCTCACCTGGTCTCACTCGGAACACAGTTAGCATGGACCAGCACGGAAGCAGCCACTAGCTGCCGATGACAGATTTCTCCTCCACCTGGGTCGATACAATGGGACCTGCTGTAAGAACATCTAGACATGTGAGAACAATTCTGTCTGAGATACTTCGGTGCATCTTCGGGTGGGACCCCGCGCAGGAGTGTGCCTGCAAATTGATGAAGAATTCAATCTTGGTCATTGAAGTCTTGGGCCGTCTGCCGTCGGCACTTTATGACTTATCAGGCCTCCCATGGGTGACTGGGTCATCATCTGTGAACGTGATACATAGGATGTGACTCGAATGTTTGTTGTGACCCTTTAGTCGGCGCTCGAAGCTCCAAGCTTCCCAATTCGTACATAAATTAACCACAACAGGCATACATATGCTGGAATCCAACAAGGGAAAAGAAGATCATCGGCCATCTTTCGCACTATGAGGGAAGAACCTTCCCGTGGTGTAGAGATGAGAAACGGTGAGAGTCGGCGGGGCGATGCAACGGTTCGACCGATGTAACTTCGGCTGGATGGATTTTCCCTCACCAAGACATGAGTTCAATTTCATCTTGAAGAATCTTACTGCCGTGTTGCGACCGGACCATCTACAATAATACCATCTAGACACTCCCATTATTAGCGTGAGGCGATGATTTTAAAGCCCATTTCTGAACAAGTAACGTTCCAGCTTCAGACGCACGCACTCTGTGTAGTGACGTATCGCTTCGCTAAAAAAATGTACTTCAACCGAATCCACTGCGGAAAGAGAGTCAAGTTTGGCATGTGAGAAACCGCTCCGGCCTGAGTCAGAGTACACCGCAGGTGCATTCTGAGATTGCAGACACAGCCTTGGGATGTCATTGCCCCGTTGCCGTCCTGTGAACTCAAAGGCCGTCAAGATGCCATCTTTGTGAGGCAGTTGTGATGGAAGGGTGTTTTTTTTGTTTGATGTCCCCAGGACACCATTAAAGTGTACCCGTGGTGTAGATGATATTCCATACATTATTGTCCCTCAAGTAGAAAAAAAAACATGATATCTTGGGCTTCCATGTAGCCATCAATTTGACCATTGCAAGAGTTACCATAAGGCACATGCTCATCACTCTCTTTGTTGCCTCTATGTACTACATAGGGAAATCTTATCCATACAAAATTTCAGGGAGCACATCATGGGGATAATCTGTTTATTGGTACAGCTGAACTCTTGGCTTATTTTCTTCTGGTATGCAGTATTAAGAGTCCCAAACAACCTCATCACTTGCTAATGTGATCATGAAATTTTGAAAAACAACAAATGTGATATCCTCTTGATCAACTTGTTTGTTTGATAAAACATGACAGAGAATGATTGAAAGGATTTCTAAAATTGTTCAAATCGGTTGGATCATCAAAAAATAATGAAAATGAGTCTGGACTAAGAGACAAGCAGAGTAGAGTGACTAATTAGAAGAACAAGTGTACACGATCCCATCAATCCTGGTCCCAATCAGGGTTTTGTTTAGGAGGAACGATCCCAGCAGCTTTGGACATGATGATCGAATCTACTCGAAGGATTGACATGGCTGCTTCAGATGCGAAGCGGATAGCCCAAGAGGTTCCTGAGAGTAAGTCGAGGATCTTGGTCTCTTTTGCGTCAACCACTCCATCTGAGCTTTCGCACTGAAGATAAGGAGAAAAAAAAAAGAGAAAAAGAGGAGCGGGAAATCAGTAAATCGATCGACAACCGTGTAGGAAAATGTCATAGCAGCATCGTACCTGGATATCTACTCCCATAGAGGTACTGTTGGAGTCTTTTGACTGATGAACGGCATATAGTCGGGTAAGAACCTCAGTGGAGTCCAGCCCAGCGTTTTCAGCCAGGGTTCGGGGGATAACCTCCAAAGCTTCCGAGAATTTTTTGATGGAGTGTTGACTGAGGCCTGGAGTCTTTTCGCCATAATCGAGGAGCCGACTGGCCAGTTCGATCTCCGTGGCCCCGGCACCGGGACAGAGTCGAGAATCTTTCAGTAGCCCTTTGATCACGTTCACCCCGTCATCGATTGCCCGTTCGACATCATCCAGTGAGCTCGTCGTGGCCCCTCTCAAGACGATCGTCGACGTCCGCGTCTTTGTCTCATCGTCCTGTCTGAACACTGTCACCCGATCACCTCCCACCTCAATCGTCTCGAACACGTCAACGTAGCCAGCCTCCTCCGGTGTCGGCGCGCCCAACCGTGCCAATGGCGTCGCTCCTACTACTCGACAAAGTCGGCGGAGATCAAATTTCGACAAGACTTTGATCACTCCAATGTTGTATCGATTCAAGTAGTGTAAAGCTAATTCTCCCAGGCTTGAACCCGCTACAATGACCGAAACTCCTGAATCAGCGATTTCTTTGAAGATCTAATTCAAGCCGATTCAAACATCAGATAACTGTCTATAATGAGATGTGGCAGAGCAAATCCTGTGAGATGGGGAGGGGGAGATATGCCTTGCAGATGTCTAGTGACTTACTTTCTCCATTAAAACCTCTTCACTTCTCGAGAAGTCCAATAATTCTTCCGAATTCCTCAACAACACGGTTCCTTTGGTTTCAGTTTGAGCAATATCGATCCCACAAGTGTAAACAGCCACTTTAGCCTTAGTAGCGTTCTTGATGACCCCCTCTGGCTCCCGCCCAAAGACCATTCCCTTGATAACTTTGGAGGAAGACAATCCAGCACCGAGGATCTTGACCACCCGTACATTATCAACGTTGAAGAGTGTTGGCTCGGAGGGCATGACTGACAGACAGGCTTCTGAGACGAGTGACGCCAGGAAATCTTCATTGCCGAATTGCTTGGATGCTAGAGGAGTTCGAAGAGCCGTGGCAAGTGACTCTTTTGTCAGAGGTGAGGGAAGGGTATCACAAGCCATTGCTAAGTTGTGCCACAGAGATTAAAGTGCGTCAGAATGGGACATGTTAATCAGGAATTCCAAAATCAAAAGAATCTGGCTCACTTTCGATCTCTTCCTCGGCCCTGTCACGTGCTAATTCGTATCCTAAGACGATCTCACTAGGATGGAGACCCATCATCAAGAGGGACTCAGCCTTCTTCAACAATTCGCCCGCAAACATCAACACCAGATTCGTGCGATCACCGATCTCAGCCTCTTGTTGTTGAGAGGCCATGATGAGTACTTTGGCTGCTGGATGAACGACCTCCATTTCTCGAAGGATCGTTGCCGCATCTGAGGTGACAAACAGCTTTTCGAGGTGACTAGTTTTTGTTTGTTTGAAGATAGAAGAGCTCATTCGTTCATAATTCTGATTCATAACCCAATAAAGCTTGTCTATAAGCCGAAACCACCGAAGTATTGTGTTTGCAGGACTTACTGATCCCAATTGTGCGTCCTGGGTCAACGAGTCTGCGAGATCTGAGAGTCAGAACGGCTGATTTTCTGATAATTCAACGGTCATCAGCTCTCGAGGGGTGATGATCGGTGGATTAGCATTTTCTTTTAGCTTACTCAAGACAGCTCCTCGATCCCTGAAGCGAAGGTGTAGCCACTCTTGAAGAGTGGCATGTTATCCGCCTTGGGCATTCGTAGAGACATCCTGCCTGGTTCTGCGTCTTCGAGTAGTTCTTGGTGATGCTTGGTTGATGGTGGGTGGGTTTGTCTGGCTCGGTGATCGATCTGCTGTGTTCCTTGGTTTTCTGGTGATCGAGAGGGATGAGGCTCAAGCGGGGATATTGCATATTCATTATGCATCTTACACCCCCCCGCCCGCCCGCTGGGTCACGCCATCCCACACCAGATCCTACTTTCTCAAGTTTCCCCCTCTCCTTGAAGGACCAGCCCAACCGCATCGAAAAATGAACAGCAGCACTATCCGTCGATCCATAGGTCTAACTGGCTCCCTCGCCCGCCAAAAACGTGTAAACAGGTCGTCTCCTCTTCCGGCCGCTCAAGATCCCCAGGCCGGCCCATCAGGCTCGAAAGCAGTCACAGAAGAAGCCCCAGAAAATCGATTGTTCAATCATTCACAAGAGCAGAAGGACGAAGACAAGCCACAGTGGCTAATTCACAAGGAAGCCCTTCGTCGAAAGTTCCCCGATGGTTGGAATCCGCCCAAGAAGATCTCGCGCCCGTCGATGGCCCTCCTGCGGACACTCCATCAAACCGATCCAAACCAATTCTCACTCTCGATCCTCTCTGAAAAATTCAAGATCAGTCCTGAGGCCGTCCGAAGAATCCTCAGATCTAAATGGGAACCTAATCAAGAGACCGCCAAGAAAACCGAACAACGTCAACAAACAGTAGGCGCCGCTCACAGCTCAGATGGCTGGGTCCATCACGAAAAGCTGGAGACTGATCAGATCCCCCTCAACCTCGCTCACACCCTTCAGTCCTCACTACCAAGCTCCTCAAAGATTTCTTCTTCTTCTTTCCCAAGAAAATCTCAGCCCAGAAGTTCCTATAATCATTTCAAGAAATGAAAAAAAAAAGTTTTCGAATTAATTGACCCACTACTAAGCTCAGCTCCCTCATTACAT